TCCCTCTCATTTTGATAAATCCACCCATTCTTAAATAAAGTCCCTATTGCTTCCTCATATAACTGTGACTTGTGATTGATTCTATTTGCCATCCTGTCCAGAGTCTTACTAAACGTTGTGGATGTAGCTGCAATGGAATGTCAGCCAGTGGAGGGCATGTGCAAACCATCCCTATGTGTCACGGGGAGAAAATGCAAACTCCACACAGAGAGTTAAGACAGGATTCAAACAGGCGTGAAACAATACGACAAACCACTGAACCACTGCACAAGGGCCAGTATTGTGCTAAAATTGCCAAATGTCAACAAATATTTGCCTAATTGTTCGTTTGGAGACTTCAGATAAGATTCAGAGAGGACCTTATACTTGCTTGGCTAGCAGGTGGTTTGAGTATTTCCTTCCTCTGATTGCCCTTTAAAGGAGATTTTAAGATTTCATTTAGTTCTTCTAAATGTGTGCAGTATTGAGCAAAACTCATTGTTGTGCCTGTAGGTTCATCACTTTTAAAGTTATGAGAATTACTTGCATACAGTTCTGAAGCAATTTGGGGGTGTGGGGGGCTACTTTGATAAATTGCAAATGAACTTTTCCCTAATTTGATGTTTTTGCGATTCTACTCCCCTGGTGTACAATCAAGTCTTCACTTATTTCCTCCAGCTAACATGTTCCTCATTTTACCTGAATAATTGCAACCCCCCCCCCCCCCCCAATACAGAGCCCTCCCCTTTAAATTCTGGCATTACATAAAAGGTGGTTTACAGTAAGTTGACCTATTCAGATGTCTCCACTCTTCACAAAATGAAATTGTTCATGTTTGTCGTTTCTGTCCTGCTGGTAACGGCAAGTGCTAAGATTTTTGAGCGATGTGAGTTGGCGCGGAAACTCAAGGCTTCAGGTGTGGATGGGTACCGTGGGTACGGTTTGCCTAACTGTAAGTGTAACAGTTTCACTTTACCTTGTCACATTGTTTGTATGTTCCTCGGGATCTACTTTTACAATTCTGAAGCTCTAAGCTGCTCATAGTTCTTGCTGTTGTTTGTATGTGCCACGTTATGGACTGACACCCCATCCAAGGTATCTGCTGCATTCTCTTGCATTTTCTGAAATAGACTTGGTCATCATAGCCATGTATTGGTCACTGGTTATGCAAAATGATTGTACAGATAAATGGATGAATTTCCTTCCAAAGTGCTACATAAAGGGAATAATTTCATACTAGTAAGAAAAGAAGCATATGGCTGAAAAATCAGCATTCTGCTGAGCCCTGTTACCACACACCTCTGGACCAGGGTTCAAGTCTCTGCCATGGCTCCATGTGTGTAGAGTTTGCAAGTTCTCCCCATGCATGAGTGTGCTCAGCGTTGGGTTGGCGCCCCATCATGGATTGTCCCCTGTCTTGTGCCCATAGCCTCTGGGATATACTCCAGATCTCCCAAGACCCTGAATAGGATAAAGGGTTACAGAAATGACTAAAAAAGATGACTAAAAAATATACAAAAAACTCATGTATGTCTATCCATCTATTCGTCATCCACTTATCCTGATCATGGTGTCATGGATAAATTGTTGGAATTAAACTATTATTGATATTAATTAAATATTATTTGTGCTGCCATTTCCCAGGGGTCTGTTTGGTCAAATGGGAGTCTAAGTACAACACATCTGCCACCAACCGAAACTCTGATGGCTCAACCGATTACGGCATCTTCCAGATTAACAGTCGCTGGTGGTGCAACGACACTAAAACCCCTCGTGCCAAGAATGGCTGTGGCATCAGTTGTAAACGTAAGTAAAGACATTCATCATGTGCAGTAGGATTAGACGGGTGGTATGTCATTCATTCATTCATTCATTCATTCATTC